ACATTTGTATGGAATTGTTCAATCGGAAGAAAATACAGTAGCTTTTTTAAAGGAAAGAGGATTTATTGAGATTGGCACTCCTCCTTGTGTTCACTGTGGCTCGCAAACTAAATTCTATACGCACAAAGAAAGAGGAAAAGAACGAACAGTGATACGATGCACAATTGCTGTCAAAGAACTCAATCCGTTCGTAAAGGTTACACGTTTTTCAAGTATACTGATAAAAATGGTCAATGTAATAGTGGTCTATCATTTTCACAAATTTTAGAACTATCATATTGTTGGTGTTTTGAAATACCACAAAGTACCATAATAAAATTAACGGGGCATGGAAATCGCACAGTGACTGACTGGATGAATTTAGGCCGTGACATACCAATAGCTGCTTTTGAAAAAAGAAGTAAAATGGGGGGGTATAAATACTATTGTTCAAGTCAATGATCCTTAATGGTTGGTAAAAGAAAGTACAACAGAGGACGATTATTGGGGGCTGATATTGCTACAGAAAATGTTGATGTAGACGAGTTGAGCGACGAAGAGGAACCTGATTTTAATAATAGAAATTATGGTAAAAAACTAACTGGTCTATGGGTGTTTGGTATGTGTCAAAAAGATTAAAATGGTGTTATTGATGCAAGATACTTTGATGTAGAAAAAAGAGACAGACAAACATTACACAAAATAATTCAAAATGAAATTGAAGTTGGTACAGAAATACACTCGGATGAATGGCTTGCATATAAGACGATAGAAAATAAAGGGTACATACATAAGTCAATCATTCCCAATTTTTTGTCGATCCCACCAGTGGTTCGCACACATAACGCATTGAAAGTTTATGAGGAAGTCTACAACTTTGAATTATTAAAAAATGCATGGTACCTACATCTCTATCACTGCTGCCCTCGTATTTGGCGGAACAATGGTGGCGTCTAAAAAACAAGAATGCACATTTGATTGTTTTTTAAGAGATGTGAAATTAAATTGTACCTAATTTAAATTGATTAATGCATATTTCTATATATTTTTACATTTTTTGTCAGTTAGTTTTTAATACATATACTAATTCAATTTACCTACATTACATATTATAATGAATTAATGCATATTTTTATATATTTTTTTGTATTATTAAATATTATATTGAAATTCTACATTAATAAATATATTGTAATTCTACATTCATGTATTCATTCATATTTTTAGCCATGTGGTAGACGACAAATGTGCGGTAGACCGCATACAACATGAACACCTACAATTTTTTTTAACAAAATTCAAAAAATGTCTCAAGGCTATAATAATCTCAAAAGTTAAAATATTTTGAAAACGTTTCCATATAAGGAAAGTGCTGATATAAATATTCGTTTTTGATTTCCACAAAAAAAATTAAATAGATTTTTTCAAAAATTGTGTCATAAAATTACCAGTTTTTTTTTGTTTTTTCTTAAGCTTTCTAAAACTATCTGGAATTTTCAATTTTGACATCTCAAAAGTACCAACTAGATTTCTATTAGAAAAGATGCTGTCTTCGAATCAATTATAGAGCCCCAAATAAAAAAATTAAGTCTTGTAAATATTTATTTATTATACCACTCAAAAAAAGATATTTCATTGTTCAAAATTCGATGATAACTAAACTAATACCATTATTTTGACCTGGTATATTAAACAGCTATTTAAATGATGTTTGTATAATAAGACATAAAAATATCCAACCCATCACAGAACAGATTTATATAATAATATGTAAGTAAATTGATATCCCATTAACATAGGCGTGCGCACGGGTGTGGCTTATAGGGCTATAGCCACACCTGAAACTTTTTATTTAGGTAGGTACTAAGTACTTAGTTAAAAAGTGCCAATAACTCACTTTTTTGGAAATTTAGATTTTTTTATCAATTTTACCATAAAAATTGTCGGGACTGGTACTCATGAGTCATGATAATAAATATATTATTGCCATAGATAGAATAATTATGCAATAGAAGAATTATGTTATGCACACGGACTAAGATATCTTAGTTCGTGGTTTAATACAATTTACGGATGATAAGGGTGGTTATAAGGGTATATGCAGCTGGTATAATATCTATTAACCGTACAGCTGGTATGGTCTTGTGGTAATCTTTCGGACAACTGCCCCCAACCCGTTGTAAGTTGTTTATGCTAACTTATTTGTTTAAAATTGTATTTCTTTTGCGGTAAGTTCATTATTAAAAATTTAAATGAAATGTCTTCTCCAAGTGAAGAATTGTGCCTTTGTGGCAAAGCTAGATCCAATCTTAACGATGTTAACTGGCAACGGCACATAAAATCATGCTCTGTTAAAAAAAAATAAAAAGAACAATGCATAAATCAAATCATTTTTTCCCCTAAACCAATGTTACAAAATAATATGTCAACGTTTAATGGTAAGTGCATACTAAGTTTGTATTTTAATTTTACTACAGTAAGTGGCCCAATTATACAGTAAACTTACAGGTACATATGTACAATGAATATAAATTATAATAATTAGGATATAATCTTATTATCTTTATGTAGAACAGCACTTTGTTGTTGAGCCTAAAAGGTGCGATGAACAAAGTTCTAATGCTACTGGTGTTGGCATGAACACTAATTTATTCATTAGTGAAGGTGTATTAACAGGTAAAATAATATTTTTCTCAACTTTAAAAAAATATTTTATAACTTGCATTTTATATGATTTAAAATAATATTAAACTAATAAACACATAGCCAAAAAATAATTTTAGAATGTCAATTTAGAGTAATTATTTTTTTTTAGACAATGAGCTCAATGTTGAGCCTAAAAACCGTGATGGACATACTTCTAGAGCTGTTGTTGTAATTAGTAATTAATGATTTTTGTGACAATCGAGCAGCGTTATCAGGTAAAAGTTTAATATGTTATGACATCAAAATCAATGAGGTGTTTTAATGTTTATGAAGGTAATGAAATAATAAAATAATCAACAATTGGATACAAAAATTTGGTACAAATAAATTTATTTTTTTTCCTGTGCCCACTAAAGGGTTAACTCATGCAATGTTTGTACTAGTTTTAGTGTACATCAGTTTTTATAATAAATGTTATTTCTACTTACCTATGTTTTGTATATCTATTTTATTATTATTTTTTTTTAAGACGAGATTTTATAAGGGGGTGGGTGATCAAAAAAAAATTAAAGCCACACCTGAAATAGGAGTCTGCGCACGCCTATGCCCATTAAATATAATAAAGTACCATACACATACTATTATGAGTTTTGGTTTACTTACTTTTTCTTCAGATGGGGCATTAAGAACATTGCTGGAGATAAGCTCAATCACTTTTTCAGTAGATAAAGATAGAAATTCATTACCTTTAAGGCTTTAACCATATCTCTGAAAATAATAACCATTAATCATAATATACTATTATATTTTATACAAATTAATAACAAAACTAGATAATTAAATTAAATTTATCATACAAAAACTTTTTTCTAATGTATGCTTCAGAACTTGACAACAGTTCCAAACAGTTATGTACGTCTGTCAATGCTCTAATACCAAGACAATTTTGAGGATCTAGTTGTGTTTCTAAAAACTCAATACACAAACTTTTTACAAAAGTCTAACTGAAAGAAATTTGCTACTGGAAACAATACCTTAAAAATACAACAATAATGCTTTTCAATGATATTGATGAATATATATTAATATATAAACTACCACAAATCTAATATTTTTATATTACGTACCTGTACATTTTCTTTGCTAATCATGATTTGGCCAGTGTACATATAGTCCACAAACAGTTGTACAACGGTTGAATCGAACTCTTTTATATTAACAACATCTTTTTTTTTGCTTTCATTAAAATTAGGGAACATTGCCAGGAAATATTGACTAGCAGACATTAATACAACCCTTTGTCCAAATATTGTTGTACCATCATCCGTTTCCAATGTAATATCACACAAAGCTTCATTTCTAAATCAAACATCTGTTATAAATATTTATTCTACTAGAATTGAATATGTGTCACTGGTCACAACATACTTGAGCAAAGATTGTAGGACTTCAAATACATTAATAATGTGAGAGCTGTTTGTATAGTTTGTTTGTTCACATTCACTGGATTTCGAAACATCCATTTGATCACTTTCGTAATTCGATATTTCGATGCACAGTGTATGGCATCCGATTGATATCTACTTTGAAATATTATAAAAAAAAATGTGAATAATTGTATATATTATAAATTATAATTTATTTTGTTGTGTGAAATTAATGATTATAAAATGAAATTTTAATTTTGAAGTCAACATAACCACGAGCATTTGGGGAAAACGCACGCACGTACAATCGTTATCAACCGAAATTTATATCACCACATTCCACAAGACCACGCAAGACGCAAGTTGAGTGATAATCATGATAAATATGCGACTAGTACTGAAACGCATGCGCAAAACTGATAGAAATCAGTCCCATAGACCATAATCAACGGACTAATCCCTGATCCTGTCCTAATCCCTTGTGACTCGTCATGTCTTCAACACGTCGTATCTACGCGTTTATAATGCAGGTTATGGATTGTACATTTGTACAGACACAATTAGGCTAAAGTCGTGTACTCGTGTATATTCATGGTACTTACTGGGAAAGTGGCATTGTTATCATCAGATAGATAATAAAATCCGTGGGGATATCACCACTGAGATAGATAACGTTGTGCTCCAATCATAGCTAGTAGCTCCAATAGTTATCAATCCCGCGTTACCGGCTCCCTATCAAATTCTGTAATCAATCACTAATCTGTATTTATGTGCGACAAGTTGACGCCGACAACCACGTTTCGATTTTGATATTTGATTTGTCTTTAGTGTTTCAGGTTCCTTTAAAATTCAGATGCACAAATTGTTCTTACTCTGAGGACTGTTAGACGTGACTGAGGACTGTTGACGTACAAATCAATAGTTTTTTAATTGAAATTGTTTTCTACAATGTATTCGGGTGGCTCCAAATGTTGTCTGTCGTATTGCACCAGTATTGCCTTTGGTAAAAAACAAATCGAAACCAAGTTTCATCGATTTCCCAAAGATCACGTAAGGTAAGAAATACCAAACAGGTACCTTTCTATTGTCCATATATGCATAGTAAATGTATGTGTCATATAAGGTATAGTTTAACATTAATATGACGTCTTAAATAACACATTAATACACATACTTGATTATGCATATGGGTATATTTCTTGCATAGACAATAAAAAATAAATCCAATAAATCCTCTTTTATGTGTCTTTGGTACTAGGAGTGTTTAGGACGACAATTTATTTAAATGTACTATTACCAAGGTTTTGATTTTATATATCATTTTAAAATTTCATATTTCATATGTTATGAAATAACATTCAACATTTTAATAAACGTGTTTGATTATTGTCTAATTTTAAAGGCAAAAACACTGGCTGCACGGACCTGCGGACGAGAGTGTCATCTCCCACCATGGATCCATGGATTTTAAAAAAAAATCATTAACCATTCTACGATAATATATATATTATATAATATCCTCTATATTGTTATTTGCTTAGATCATATATCAAAATATTATAGAAACTGAATTTCACAATTTTTTGGAAAATATGCCTCCACCCCCACCATTAGAAAAAGCTGAGCACGCTACTGTGCTGACACATCATTTCGTATTAGATATCTGTTTTTAATTTTAAATTTATCTGCTGATTTTGATGGGCCCCTTTTCTGTCATTACGGCTTTGATTATTATCGAACGAGTGTTTAAATCGTTATACTATATTAATGCAGCTGACTAGTATCACTGTACCTACTATACTAGTTGTATTTTTGGTTGAACTTGTTGTGATCATTCTTTGCTGCACCTTAACTTGTGTTAACTTTCTTTTAAAATTCCTGTTTTTACATATTTTGTCGTTTTTATCGCATATTTTTAGCACATATTTAAGGTAATATTACAGCACATACTTTTGCAAATTAAATGTTATAAAATCTCAACTCTCCCCATTGAAAATTCTTGAGATACTACGCTTTCAACTTAATTTTATTTAATAATTATAATATGATAGTGATTATAATATATCGTATGTGTTAGGTAATATACCTTATAAAATGCTTGGATTTTTATTTTCTTCATACATTACAATTAATAACTTTATTAGTACCTACCAACTATAATAGTTTAAATAAATATAGGTGTGCCGTCTGGATTGAAAATTGTAAACCAATCAATTTACCAACTATTGACCCTGATATTCTATCAAGAAATCACAGATTATGTTCACTTCATTTTGAAGATAAAATGTACACCAATTTAAATAAAACTAGATTGTCAAATCAAGCAATACCAACATTGTTTAAAAGTAAGTTGGATGTGTAAAACATCTTCATAATTAGTATTGTAAAAAAATATTTTGTTCTTTTAGGTAACATTTTCGTTAGAGAAGACCAAACATTACGTCGTGTTGAGATTCCATCTGGATATTTTGCTGAAAATACAATGCTAACTGAAAATGTTTTAATTGACAGTCCACTGACTTGTTCAACTCCTGGTATGTTAATTTAAATAATTAGATTTTATTGTTAAATATGATAATTAATATTACTTAAATTGTTAATTTATTATTTTAATATATTATTAATTTATTTTTAGTGTCATTTACTCATAACTCATCGACATGTTCATCTTCTTCATCAATAGAATCATGTTCCATAAGTATTCAAAGTCCAAACTCATTAACTGGCATAACTTCAAGGAAACACGTACGTCAAGGAGGACTCTCCAATTCTATGAGCTCAATTAAGGAACTAGAACAAGAATTAACAGACCCTACCACTATTGAATATTTTATGAAAATGTGTGAACAATATTTATCACCATCAGTCAACCTTCTAGTTAAAAATAATATTATAAATAAAGAAAAGTCAAAAAGTGGGCAACGCTATTCTAAACAATTTGCTTTAACAATATATTTTCTAGGCCTTGACGTATTTAATTTTCTTCAAAGATCTTTTTCTCTTCCTTCTATTCACACTTTAAAAAGATTAACTTCACAATATGATTTAAAACCTGGCTTAAATGATTTCCTATTTAACTTTTTAGAGTTTAAAATGAGTAATTTTCATGCTGATGCTTTGGACTGCTTTTTATGTGTTGACGAAATATTGCTAAAACCAAATTTATATTATAATATTACTAAAGATGAGATAATAGGTTTTAACCAATTAAACTGTTTTAGAACATATGAACCTGCTAAATATGCTCTTGTCCTTATGATCAAAGGAATCAAATATAATTGGGAACAACCTATTGCCTATTATCTTTTTTCCAACAACTGTTCTGGTCCAGATCTTAATTTCATTATATTTTCAACAATTCGCCGATTAAGAAATATAAATTTTAATGTTAGATGCTTAGTTACAGATCAAGGGTCAAATTTCATTCGCTTTTCTAATGATAATCATGTTTCTTCTAAGGAACCATTTTTTGAAATTGATGGACAGCAAGTAATATATATATTTGATCCTCCTCACCTGCTTAAATCAACACGTAACATGTTTTTTAAAAATGTATTCAAAATAAATGAAGATTTAGTAGACAAAAAACATTTAGATCAATTTTACAACTATTTTATCAAAAATAAACTCTCTTTGGCACATAAATTAACATATTCACATATTCATCCAAGTCCTTTTGATAAAACAAAACTTCATTTAGCAGCTCAAGTCTTTAGCGCCACTGTTGCGGCTGGTATGTCAACAGCATTAAATTTTGGATTATTACCAGTTGAATCTCAAAGAACAATAGATTTTATTAATGACATGGACCAATTATTTGACATATTTAATTCTAGAGAAATTCATAACAGTAAAATTTTTAAAAGTCCTTTTAATAATGCTTCACCTCAGTTAGATCATTTAATAAAAATGACTGAAATATTTACAAACTTAAAAGTTATAGACAAAAAGAATAATACTGATGTTACTAAACATACACATTTTATAAATGGTTGGTTAGTCTCTATTTCTGGACTAAAAATGCTTTGGAAATCTTTAAATCCTACCCAAAACAAAACATATAACATTTCTACTGGCCGCTTAAATCAAAATTATCTTGAGAATATATTTGGAATTTTTCAACGCAGTTCAAATCCTACTCCTATCCAATTTATTCAATCTTTTAAAAAAATATTTTGGCTTCAATATTTTAAACATATCCTAGGAGCTAACTGCTTAAAAGACCTTGACCAAGTATTTACTCATATCAAAAAACAACCAACAACTAATAAAATGACCAAATTATTTGATTCTGAAGAACAAAATCATCTTTTTAATTTCAAATCAATAAAAATTGGTACTGATGACTACAGGAAATTAAATATTCCTGAGAGAAATGCATGCGCTCTTGTGTCTGGATATATTATGAAGAAATGTATGGAGAAACATGTATGTCAGGTTTGTATAGACTATGCGAAACATCAAAAAACATTAGATCAGTCCTTTCTCTTAGCTTTCTTTAAAATTTATTCTGCAAATGATTCTTCCAATTTCAGTAAACAATTAATGCCTAATGATGAGTTCTATAATTATATTATTCAATTAGAAGATGCTTTTATTGACAATTTCCCGTCTATTGCAACTTATGATAATATCGGGTCCACTTTAAAAGATTTACTTTGTAATATACGTTTCAAACATCCTTGTGTATTATTTAACAAACAATTTTTAATAGATTTATTTATACGCTTTAGAATTTTTACTGCAATTACATTTTTAAATAGGTCTATGTTGTCTGAAACAAAACGAAAGAATAGAAAACTATCTAGTTTAAGACATTTGTAAATAGGTAATTAGTAATATCTAATTAGATATTATTATGAAATTGTATTTTTAATCTTATGAATAAAGTATTAAACACAATATTAACATTATTTTTTTTTTTTTTTTAGTATTAAAGATTGTTATTACTTATTAGGTACAAAATAAAATTATCTATACTATGATATTTGTATCGATAAGTTGTACAATGATATAAAGAAATTGCTAGTACATTTAAAAAATGTAAAATGAGCATAACTCCCTTTATAATTAAAATGTAAAAAAAACCTGAGATTCATAAGATATTATTCTTATTTGAAAATTTGATAATATGACAATTCACTCTAATATTAAACATAATAACTGGAGTTCAACGGATTATTCAGAATGGACATTTTGATATGGTTACCCATGCGTTTGTAAAATGGGTGACGAGTGATAATGCATGCCGTTTTATTGTCCTCTCAGCAAAATAATGACAAATACTGTGATCCTTGACATTGGCTGACCGACTCCATGTAGAATCGTATTTTGTATACAATGGTCAATGACATGTCATAGAATTAAAATTTAACTCTTCCATTACAATTTACAGTGGTCAGTGACCTACTTGACACTTACTTTACAGCAGTGCGATGCCCACTTATCCTGAACCTTTTTTTAATACCTTTCTATCTACAGTCTACACTAGTCACTAGGTAGGTTAAGTTAAGTTAGTATATTTTGCACCAAAATTGGCACAAAATAATATACCTTTATAATACAAGTGTAATTTCCACCAACATTTTTGAAATTCGTTTGTAACTTGCACCAAAATTAAAATCGATTATTCGTTTGATAAAACGTAAACAATTAGAATGGTTTTGATAGTTGAGTGGCTATAAGATATTGATGAGATATAAAAGCAACTATGGCCTATAATAACAAAGAATATTCCATTTTAGTTTTTTTATTTCAGTAGGTAACCTATATTCACGTCAGTATTAATTTCAAAGCTAGGTATGTACCTAATTTAAAAATAATAGGTAATATAATATATTAATATGAAAAATATACTTAGCCACTTAGACTTAGGTAATATATTATAATAAATTATAATTAAATAAATGCATTATTTAATTATAATAAATTATAATTAAATAAATGCATTATTTTCAAGGCTGGGCAAGTTAACTATTTTTTTTAACTCGTTAAGTTAAGTTAATATAGAAAAATGTAAGTTAAGTTTAAAGTTAAAAGTTAACTTCATTTTTTTTTTAACTTGTAAAAGTTACAAGTTAATTAGCAAATAAAAGTAACTTAACTTAGTTAAAAATAAGTTACTTTTTATTTAAAATAAAATTAACAATTATACCTACCTACCTTTTTTAAAGCTAACAAATAACATAATAATTCAATAAATCAAAAAATCAAAAAATGTCTTACAATATTTGAATAAATGTTTGTAATAAAATTAGTTACTGTAGGTACTTATATTAATTTTGTGTATTATACTTTAATAAGGTAAATAGTAAATACCGCGCTACTACGGGTATTATTTACATCGACGGGCCAAGTTATCACCGTAATTCTATGAATGAATAAAAATATAATTAAGTAATGATATTAATAATGATTAGGTATAGGTTAGGTGATATGTCGTGTATGGGATAGGTACTGAGTATATTTTTCTTTGACGCGGTTAGAGTCATCTCTATGATATTTCCCTCTAAAAATATAGTTATAAAATATTTTCTGTGAATATGCAATATAAAAACTTACTATTATTATTATAAATTATTATTTAATAAAATATATTTAATATTTCGGGTTTTTTTTTATGTAATTAATTTTACAAAATTGAATTAATTTTAAATAATATGTGGTTTGGGAAAAAATTAACTTAACGTGCCAATAAAATTAATTAACTCGTTAAGTTACTGAATAACATGGGGAAAAATGTAAATCGTTAAGTTAGAAGTTACTTCTAAAAAAAAAAGTAACTCGTTAATTAACTTAGTTAAAAGTAACTTAACTTTTTAACTTAACTTTAACTTATTAACTCGTTAATGCCCAGCCTTGATTATTTTTGTCAACAATTAATAAATGTAAGAACCCAATTACGACAAATCGCAGTAAAAAAAAGTCGTCGGAAAAGAAGTCTGGTATATTATATTATATAGGTACATACTACATGTCTAAATACTAATATACTATATTGTATATATACTAGAAACATAACAATATTTAAAATAATTTATTAAAAAAAAATTCAACGATTATGATTATGTAAGTACTTACTTAGTATCATAACCTTTATAAAAAAAAATCGAAATAATTATTACATACAAATAAAATATACATAATAATATATTACAATGATTTATTAATTAATAATTGAGTACCTATTAACTATCGTCTTATAAAATATAATATATTAAAAAAAAATTAATTAATGATTATAATAACTACCATGTATGTACTATCATTACCTATATAAAAAAATCGAAATAATATATTAAATTGAGTATTAACTAGGTATCGCCATATTATAAAATACCTATAATATATTTATCAAAAAAAAAATTATTATAATGTTTATCTAGTATTATGACTTATCAGTTTAATTAACCAACTGCAGTCGCAAAAAAATTAATTTTGCAGGTTAAATAATTTTAAATTTGGTTACAATTTATATTAATACTAATTGGAAGTTAGATTGTGCATTACATGGTATTTTTCACTTTACCAAATTATGTGTAGGTACAGGACTCTTTAAGTTTCTGACTTTTTCACCGTTGACTTTTTTACTCGGACTTTTTGGTAGTATACCTACCGATTACGACTGATCGGACATTAAACTGTAGGTATCTATTTAATGAAAGACACTCTTCGCAATTAGATTATTCAAAAAGAGCGTCTTCACCATAAATTCATAACCTTTAATATTGGTATATTATACAGAGGCGTACGCAGGGGTAGGGTTCTGACCCCCCCCCCCAGAAATGTCTTCCTTTAACAAAAAATCTTATTTATCACAATTTCAATACAGAGTCGATCAATTGTTGGTTATTTTTAATAGATATAAAATAAATTGTTAAATATGACAAAGACGTCGATAATCGTAGTTTCAGTTTTTTGGTTAGTTTAGATTCTAAACTTTAGAACATTGCTAAACGTCTGCCATAACCGTCAAATGGTGTATCATCATGTATCATCGTCCATCGATTATTGCCATGTTTATTACGACCCGAAGAGGCTTTATAGGTGACCGGGTTGAACACTCGAGTGTTCTAAATGTGGACTAAATTTGAGACTAACTATAAATTGTTATAACCAATTATATAAAAACTGTTTAGAAAAAAATAATTTAAATAATTTACTCAGGTAAAACCCTAACCAAACTAAAATCCTGCGTACGCTAGGTACTGATATTATAATATTGTATAATATACAGTCAGTAGTGAGTAGTCACACATATATCATATATTACAGAGGCATGCTGAATAGCTGAATAGTAATTTGTTGAGGCAATTTCCTCAGGGAAAATTCGGGTAAGTGGGTGGGTGTGTTAGTAGGTATAGATGTGCAACTTATAACAGTTATAACTAAAAAAACTTAATAATATTTATTATTTTGAGTGATAAAAAAAAAAATGAAAAAACTTTTGGTGGTGGGGAGGGGGATCAAATTGAATAGTTTGCCTCAGGTCTGCTTGTCAGTTCGGCACGCCACCGAACTAATATATTATATTATTATAACCTTTTTTAAATAAACTGTTTCATCGGCTCGAACCACACCCATCGACCATCGGTCCGATCCACACAACAGCACTCTCCCTGGGTACGCCCTTGCCCCTTGGTGACAGTCATACCCAAACGTGATGAGCCATATAATACATATAATATGTGTATATATATATATATATATAACTTCCATATGTCAACCGTTAGAACTATTGCAACTATCCGACCTTCCAGGCCACTGGTGGGCCGACAATGAATTGACCTATATTGCCAGCTATTGTATAATCATCGACGAGAATTCAAAAACAGCCGTAATAAAAATAACAAAAGACGCCGACGAGTATTCTATGTAGTACAGATGAAAACTCACACTGGGTCCAAGGCACTAAATCTATAAATCCATCTCTCAATATACCACACAATTATATTAAAATAAACAACTTTACACGCTTACAACAAATAATCACAAAGATAAATAATAAATTCCAAAATACAAAGAAACCCATTGTCCATAACGAGTTAAAAACAAATATAAATATATTATTATACCCTTTTTTAAATAAACTGTTCCTTAGGCTCGGATGACACCCATCGACCATCGATCCAATCCACACAACAGCACTCTCCCTGCGCAGGTACGCCCTTGGTGACAGTAATAATATTATAATAGATGTAGAGTATAATATTTTTATGTTTAATAAATGTACTTTTTCAAATACCTCTATAATATATTAGAATATTATCAATTGTGTTCTTGATTAATATTAAATTATAAGTTAACCTATATAAAACCTATTTCTTCTTCCTTCGTTCATCGACCAAGTCCCCAGCAAGTCTGCAGTCAAATTAGAGTAAGTTAATAATTTACTACCTATATACAACTAAATCCTTACCTATATATATATATTTACATACCGATATTATGTACTTATGTGTGTGTACATATATGCATATAAGAAGGTACCTAGTATATTAGAGTGAGTAGGAATGCAATATTTATAAATAGGTATAGAAAATCATATACAAGTATTAAGTAAATATGTATATATTGAGCACACATCCTATTTTCACATTACTACAAAACTTTACTTTACGGATGATAATATATTATAGGTATATTTATATCTGAGTTGATATTCACTCGTGTTCGTAACAATCATATTACCTAAAATAATATATATATTATATAATTGTATGGTATACCTTCTATACATATCTACGACCTAACTATGTGTATGAATGGATAAATAAGTTTTGCCTTTTCGAGTGACGGTCTACGTAGAATATAGGTATCATATG